AATTGTCGGCACCGAAGTTACCAAAAATAAAACACCACCGAAAATTTCTGCTTTTACACTAACCAAACTAGGATCAGATCATATGAACAGCATGCGGAGGAGTTCCTATTATTATGTTGCTGCTATATGCTCAATATTTTATGTCCTTCTTCTGTTGCAATGCAATTACAGAGCCTCAGAATCAAGACGGGTGAAACTACTGAGGCATACAGCATGGGATCTGCAGCATTCAACATTGTGCACAACTTCTTTCCAAGAGAGCTTTTCCTGGGTGACCACGTGCACTCTTTTACGACAGCCAACAAGAAAGCAAATATTTATCGCAACCCTGTAACGATTGTCGTCTTCCCCAACTATCCCAACGGAACCCTCGGAACGGTTTCCCTGATTTGTTCTGGGAAGAGCGAGCAACTGGACACTGAAGCTAAATTCGAGCTTACCCTAGAGTGAGTAGAGATGTACCAGTCCAACACATGGAAATATGGCCCTGTAATTTGCTGAGGCATGTATAAAAGATGATATTCTTATTATCGCTTGCTGTTTTGACGACATGATAGGTTATGTTTGGAAGATGGCTGCTACTGGCTGTGGTCCAGGGTCGTAAAGCAAAGTGTTTACCCACTACTTTCATATACGTACATATCAATAGGTGAATGCTAGTTTGTGGCAGGTCCACCTGGCTTTCTCTGCTTACCTTCTAGTGTTATTAGTAATTATTGCAGGACTCATCGGTTTCATGAGCAGGAATGTGATTTTCTATAATTGTTTTAAGTTGAATTGCAACAGATTTTTCTTCCATGTCTAGGTGTAGAGAACTTCAAACCAGGGTCAATTTATTTGAATTGTGCTGGTACACCGAGAAGGTATTCTTTTTAGATCCTTGCATGTATTTATGCTGGACGGAATATGCATTAAAAAAAAAATCAAATTGCCAGAGTACTGCCGGTGAGTTGGAATCACTAATGCACAGAGTAGTCGGCTGTGGTTGGTGGCTCCGAGTGAGTGCAATGTCTGTCACTGTGTATATGTATATCAAGGTATCAATATACATGTATCAGGGTGGGGTGGGCGTGTGAATCGAGGGGGTCATGTGACATGCACCGTGAATGCGGAAGGTCAGACTTGCTGTGCTGTATCGTGCACAGTTCCATGGTACACTGGACCTGCAGACCAGTGGCATGTGGTGCGTACAGCAGTGCATGCACCGGCACAAGCTCAAGTCACTTCCCAGGTAGAAATTCACGGAGAGGGGGCAGCAGTGCTACTGGCCAATGAAATCTAGTGGGGCAGGCCATTTTCTCTCCATTTTTACACCGTTAGGCGCTGCATCTGCCGCTAGGATTTATCGGGTGTTAGCGGCCGTCGTGAGTTCCCTTCGGGAACGGACACGATAATTTACTTACTTTTTTAATTATAATAGTTGTAAATGTGTATAATATCCAGCTGAAGTATATGAATGCAGTCGCCGCCTTTCCACCTGTCCATTCACCGCCATGCGCATTGTGTGTGCTTTTGGTGTTTCGTACTGTTCAAGCTAGAGTCGGAAATTGACAAGCGGCTTTGGAGTTGGAAAGTCATTCACCAAAAAAATTGCTGGTTTGTACAGTATGGCAAAGGTTCCAAGTGTCAAATTGCCGCTTTGCAGTGCATGGAATGAGCCATTAACTTGGTAAGCTACACGGCCATTATAAATTTTTATTAATCATGATGTACAACCTTTAACAGTGACAGTATGGTTTTATGCAGGATACAGCAGAACAACAGGATTGTGTAGAACAATGTCAATGAATCCGAGATCGGCATAGTGACTAGAGAAAATTCAAGTTCTCAAGAAATGATACTGACAAAACTAGAATGAATGTACTTCAGTACACTGATACCGTTGTATACATTTAGTGCCACTAGTGAAATGTAGCAAGAAATCCACATCAACGGACACATGAGACGTATTCTCTCTCATCCTCTCTCTCATTCTCTCTCTCTCTCTCTCTCATTCTCTCTCTCTCTCTCTCTCTCTCTCTCTCTCTCTCTCTCTCTCTCTCTCTCCATCTATCTATCTCTGTTCACAGACAGAGGACAGACATGCACACACACGCGCACGCACACACACATACACACACGCGAACGCGCACACACACACACACACACACACACACACACACTCTCTCTCTCTTTCTCTGTGCCTGTCAAAAAAACCCATAGCAGCTTCAAGTGTTTAAATCACAATGGTATGTATATGGGGGGGGGGGGGGGAGGGGGGGGGGGGGTGATGGTAGCAACTTATCTGTGCAGCTGTAATGAGTGCAGATAAATTGAGACGAACAAGGAAGTCCCCGGCTCATGTGGCTATTGCTGTCATTGAGAGTGACATCATACTGGACTCTACAGGCTTGTTTCAGTTTGGCGTCCATTGTTTCCTCCCAGGCCACCTCCATGTCTAGCATCGGGCCTTCCTGAAGGCATAGGGACGATGCCTTGCAGGACGTCAGCTAGCACCGTCGCATCAATGTTACCGCCAGACACCACACATACCACCTTTCCTGGTCCGGCTTGGCCAGTCAAGGCAGCGGCGACTGGAGCAGCTCCAGCGCCTTCAGCAACCACATGGTTCCTCTCGACCATCAGTCGGATAGCACGTGCAGTGTCATTCAAACTGACCCTGGCTGTAGTGGTGATCATTCTCTGAACATGCGGCCATACTTCAGGTAGCACGGTGTTGAACCCAAGTCCGTCGACGAATGATGGTGAGTGTTGGCAGTAGAAAGGCCGTCCAGCCAGGAGAGCGTTGTTCAATGGTGTACTGGTGTTGACTTCACATGCAATCAGGCGTGTGTCGGGCTTGCGTGCCTGGAGTACACTACCAACACTGAGGCACAGGCCACCGCTACTGTATGGCACCACAATCGCATCCACATCGGGCAAGTCTTCTAGAATCTCCAAAGCTAGTGTGGCATTGCCTGCTCGATAGAATTCAGATTCAGAACAGCAACACACACCATATGAGTGGAAGAGGGTGCGATTGTGATCATAGAAATGGGCTTTGGCCAAGGACGCGGTTATGTGCCAGCATAGGAGGCATATAGTGCTCTGTGTGAATGGACCTCCAGGCCTGCAGGGAGCCACAATGGTCTTCCACAAGCAGGATTGCACTGATAACCCATTACATGTCAGGGGCGTCGGAAGGTATTTTAGTGTGGTGCGGTCAGCCATCTGAAGTACGATTTACTCGTGGGGGAGTGGTGGCGGAGCCGAAAATTTTGGAATTTTAGATACCAGATCAGTGTATTTTGTTGATTCACGGGGTATCTGGGGCAAAACGTGGTACGGTCAATACCGTAGTGACCGTACCGTGTGCGACGCCCCTGCATGTATCTCATGCAAATGCATGCGCTTGTATGGCAGAATGGTGGGGTTTGTGCTTGGCAAACTGCTGCATAATGCCGTACATGTGACACATGTCTACAGTCATGCATACAGGTGGAATCGTGACAATTCGAGTATGGCTTAAGGAGAACATACCGCGATATTGCTTCCGGGACAGATTTCAGCCGCTGATAATTCGAAGTTGGAAATGCATAATTCGAAGTTCAATGTACACTGTACTTGTACACTGTGCTGGTCGGTTCCATTTCGCAAGTAGACTGTTGTGCCCGTTCAGAGTGCGTGGGATATGTGTTCGGTGTGACAATGTGAGCATTTTGATATACATTTTGCGGTGCGGGTACATGTTTGGAAGATTAGAATGTCCGAATATTAAATTAGAAGTTTCCCCTGGCAATTTGGGGTTCGAATTATCAGGATTTCACCTGTATACAATCATAATGTAAGCATATACGGTCACATGATACGGTCACATGATGGTATAGACTACATGAACATGGTCTGTAGATTACCAGGACATTCACTGAAGCAGAAATTTGCCAATGCCGTCACATGATCCTTTCTGTTTCCTAGCCTGCCATGTGTGGGCTGAATGTGTGTGTTTTGCTCTGCGTGGCTCTTCCATTTGTAATTCTGGACAAGTACTGCTGGAGCTGAATCAAGGCTCATGCTGGTTAGTCTGGTCCTAACCCTGGTAAAATTGTACTAACCTGCAAGAATCTCGCGCTTGCCGGATGGGCGGATGAAGTGCTGGTCCTCCAACCCTGGGAATTTCTGGTGAACGAGAACCTCCCACCATTGCTCAAATGGGACACGGCGTACAGAAGCTCCCAGCCGTTCCAGAGCTGAATGCTTGATGATAGGAGCATAGTCAGGTACCACTACAGATATAGGGTAACCCTTGCGTTTAGCACAGGCTGCTAGTCCCTGAGAAAAACACACCACACACAAATAATAGTCTCCAGGCATGCATAAATACTCCGGTTGGATGGAAGTTTCCAAGCCTGTTGGAAAAACACACAACACACAATATCCAGGCATGCATATTGATAAGTACTCCGATTGGATTTGAGTTCGTTTCCAAACCTGTTGGAAGTGTAAGGACAACTGCTCTGACCAAACAACTGAAGCCAGTGGCTGTGAACATTCCACTGCCAGCATGTGTTTCCCCTCCCCCTTTCCACTGCGATTTCAGAGTGCAAGTCCGCACCGCCTAGGGCAAACCCTGCAGCAGGTGCTACAAGAAATTCATGTAGCAGCTAGCACCACCCATTTGAAACTATTCCCCATCAGAAGGAACTCAAGTATAGACAAGCAGATTGAAGTGCATGCACTTCAATAGATTACATCCCATCAAGTGATCTCATGCTAATATTCACTTCTCAATGTATACGAGCACTTAAATCATGTCTGCAATATTGCCCAAAGGCAAATTGCCGAAGTACTTTATTGCACAACAACACGTCTTCACCAGGAAGCACTCCCCTAACCAGCGGCACTGACAGAAGAGTATGCTATTGCAACCCGTGCACTAGTGATATGACATACCAGTACTACTACAGTGTTAGCAACACAATTATTATAAAGTGTATGGGGGGGGGGGGGGGAGATCGTGTTAGTTTTTAGTTCTGCCACAACTTTGCAACAGCAAGTCACTTGGTTTTAAGATCAAAAGCTGCTTCCATCACATTAATTCAATCAGCTCATATTTCATTAGCCAACCTGCCAGGATCACTCACTGTAAGACTAGTCAACAGAAAACTTGACATTGGGAGGAGCAATTCCCAGGGCTGTAAGCAGAATCAGTGCTTTATTTCAGTGATAGTGCATGTATTCCCCCTATAAACTTTCACATCTCTGAATGAAACCATTTTTATGAAAGTTTAAATTGAAATCCCAGTTCGGGGGGGGGGGGCAGGGCAGGATAGCAATCAGATATGACTGCCTTTCATACTATGACTCTTCAAAGTCGTTACAATGCGACAGCAGCAAATACGTCCTTATCTCTGGCATTTCGCCCCTCAGAGCAGTGACAAAAATAGCATCTACATTGAGAATGGAGTGGCCAAAAATGCTAGATATAAAAACTTGTTTACTGCTGCTCTATTCACTACTGTAACAACATTGAAGAGTGATGGTATTGGTAGGGTCTGGTCAAAACCTCCAATGGCTTCTGTGCCTCGTGTGCTAGGTCGCTTTCTCCAGCAAAAAATCTACCATGCGCAATCAGTGTTCAGACGTTTGGCATTTACACAAGCAGCGCAGTCCTGCAGGTCCATGGTTAGTCAGTGCATCGCCCAAATAAAGGTGTCAATTAAAGCAAAGCCGCATTACACTTCGTCTCCTCTCCATCACTCGCAAAAATAGCCCTGATCACTGAGTGTGTTTCAGTCCCGGTGCATCACTTATCCAGACATCGGCAATACTGTACTGCTATGTAAACTTTGTGGGAATTTATTAGGAATTTATAAAGTGCAACCACAAAACTGGGGATTTGATACTCAATACAGTCATTATTAGTGCAATATACTGTCCACAGAGTCTTATCCCAAACTTGAAAGAAGGTAAGGAGGTTCAACAACACCTGGACATTCATAACATAACATTCTATGACCAAATCAAGCTACTCATGGCCAGATCACAGGGGATTGCCCCCCCCCCCCCCTCCCCCAATACGGAGTTTCAGCCGTACCCGTACGTTCTATCGTCCAATTAAGCCAGCGATCCGAATTCCTTGCAAATGAGGCATCCATAAGACCGGCGTAACTCTTAATGTATATCTGGGGCACTAAAGCCGCAGCCCACACATAACTACAGTGTATAGGGAGCTTTTCAAGCACATGACTTGATCAACGAATGCTCAGCCAGGAACATGAAGATGTACACCTGGATTGGACTAAAAAAACGAGCCGGACCGATGTTGTAGACATCAGGATGTTCAGAATCTGTGGCAGTTCTGTACAAACAGTGTTCCTATTTCCAAAGCATTTACAGCTGAGAGACCATTTGAAGTGTGATGTGCAAAGTAGAATGGCGAGGGTGATGCCGCATTGGTCATGGGTCAGGCAAGTAAAAAAACGCTGCCCAAGCACCAATGCCTGGCTCTGTTGGGTCAGAGCAAAGCAGGCTGACTGAATCCTCACGCGGGTTTGCCAAGGTAGCGATATACTTAGTAGTGTCATGGAGTGAAGTTACCAGCAGACTTATCCTCGCCTGATACAAAAGTCAGGGAAGTCGGGGAACTTGCAGAAAATTGGCACCGAGAAAGAGAAGCGATACAGAGTATAGAGAAGACAATGAAGTCAAATGCCGGTGCGTATACAGCGTTTGGTTATCAGACAGGAGACATACATGCCTAGCTATGTGAATACATGTAAACTGGCTGACTTGGCTGCAACATAGGAACAGCTCACAGTATGGAAATGGTGTACCTTCACAGAACCAAGCTCCATTCCGAATTGGTGCCCTCCTCCTTTTCTTGACCCGTTGCGGGTGGATCAATACGGTGCCAGTCTCACCCTCTTTCTTCTTATCTCCATTCTCCAATCTTCTCGATGTTGTCTCCTCACGTAATCTTATTCTGCTCATGCCCTCCATCTCCCTCCAATGAATCATTTGATATTCTACAACCCCCATTCACGAGATGTGTCCACGATAACCATAATTATGCTGTTGCTTCAGCCAGGCCTCCGTTCGCGGCATAACGTGAACTGGTACATGAAGGGATACTTGTGTCACATATACACGTACCCGTCAACACGCTCTTCGCATTTCTATGCTTCTAGACGAATTTTGCCTCTACGCAAGTCCCTGGCACTTTATGGTTTCCACTACTAGGGCACATGATGGTGCATATGATACATGTAGGGTAGCGCAGGCTGGTCAGGTGCATGCAGGCGCAGCACTTTTGATTAGATCAACTTAGCCATTTTGAGGCGAACAATTTTAAGATCTTGACCATTTTTAAACTCTGGAACCGTGTTCCCATGTACAATTGCTATCACTCTAAATTGGTCTGATAATAGCACAGGAAGTTCTGGTTTTGACCATGTGTCCTTTGCAAAGATGTATGCAAAGTGAATCATGTACAACATGCACATGTGTGTGGTGTAGGGTGTATGGTAGATGGTAACAATTCGTTATATTAATTTTAGCTCCATACCTCAAGACCTTTCTACTGGGCAAGGGTGCATGATTCACCACACCCCTGCGTGATGTATTTTGAGTCCCATGCATACAAACACTGTCATTGCACAATGATCAACACTACAACAGAAGTGTAGAGCTAATGGGTCTATGTACTATCACCGCTGCACTACCACCAGCATGCATAGATCTGCAATGTTATGTACCTCCTTGATGCCTTGACGGTGTTGAGACCATTGCCAGGCATTGGCATTGGCCTGTCTGGTGCTGTTAAAAGCTAGCTTATTTCCGGCCACAAAAGGAAGCACGCTACGCATGCTTGCGCATTTCAGTTGCCGAAAATGGGCGGAAACAATGGGCATGGCGCTTCAATCGCTCCGGGGAAGCTCACGTGAATACACCAAGCTGAACAAGACCCCACCATGCACATCATTGCAGTCATCGCACATCAGCGCTAATGCCTAGTCCACCCCGACCCGTAAATCTACGAGACAACCTCAGTAAGGTAATGTAAGACACACGGCACACGTCAGACTGACCTGGGCGAAATTGCCAGTACTCGCTGTCACAATACCGCGTTGCAGCTTTTCCTTTTCAGCTGTTGCCAGTGCATATGAAGCACCTCGCAGCTCGAAGGATCCAATAGGTTGCAGGTTTTCCAGTTTCAAGTAGACCTCCATCATGCCACCGCACATCCCATCCTGTGCTACACGAACCATATCGACATTCAGGCGGATCAAAGGCGTCCTCATCACGCCATACTCTGAGAAGTGTTCCCTGGCGGCGTACGCATCTTCAATAGTGGGGATAAAGGAAGGAGCAGCTTGCTCCGGGCTTGATGCCGCTGTTGCTGCTGCTGAAACACCTCCATTTTCTCGTTGGTGGCTACTTTCATTTCCCACTCCACTGTCTGCACTATTCGTGGAATGAGCAGCTGTACTTTGAGTCGAACCAGCCTCGGCAATATCCGATTGTTCATCAGCCATGATTAGATCGATGGCCGCACAAAAACAAGAATGGAGAAAATCAACAGGACAACAGCACGTCGTTGCCCCACAATAACCAGATAACAAGGCCCGGGATAGAAATGGGGGGTGAACTTTCACACACACGCGCACACACCTTACTTCATAAGTGCCAGGAGCGGAGATGAAGCCACCAAGTCACGTAGCTGGATAGGCCAGCCTGCAGGCTTCAGCGCAACTGCAGTGACTGCAGTGCGCGAGTAGATCTACTACATGTACACGCAGATTGAGTGTAAGTATCTACTATGCAGCCGTTAGGTACTACTAGTACTACTAGGTGGCCTTCGTATCGGCATCTCCACTGGAGGCTACAGCAGTAGTATTACTATTACTATTAGTATTACTATTCCTTACAACTTACAAGTACTGTTGAAGTAGGCTAGAGTGTAGCTAGAGAGTAGAGTAGAGGACCCAGGCCAGGGCCAGGAACTGACCGTACTCGTACAGCGCAGTGAGTCTCTACCGGCTCCATGCCAGCCAAGACACCGAGCGTGCAAGCTCGCGCTATGCTAGCGCGCAACCAGCCAGGCAACCTCCAAACTAACCCCAAACTGAGTGAAAGACTGCCAGCAGTGCAGCAGCGCGCATGGTTGCAAATCGTCCGACGGTTGGGACTTGTGACCAGGGAGTCGTTAAAGGCTTTTACGACTCCCTGCTTGTGACAGTTGTGTTCCGATTGGCGCATATGCGGCATAGCGATGGCAGAGCTAGAGAGTACAGAGGACCCAAATCGTCCACCACTACTGGCACTAGTACATTCTTAGTAATAAAGTGGCTCAAGAGTGCAGGTCAAGTGCAGTCATCATCTCCTGCAGGTCTGCGTCTAAACCGGGACAGACTTCAGCACAACAAACTAATACGTCTTGTAAACTAGTACTTCGCCTCGTTGTTGAATTAAGTGTTACCAAACTCATCCATAGCCTAGGGGTAAGCGGATTATGCTCGGGAAATGACCAGATTACAATGTACATGTATGCTCTAGCGGATCGGATGCTCGCAGAATGCTCAAGAAAACAGCCAATTATTATGCTTATGCTTCACCAAAAAGATCAAAAGAACCGTGACAATCATCATGAAAAAAGGACTCAGACCATTGTCATGATGTGGACTGGGAGCTTTGTGGAAGTACACGACATACTATTATTACTGTATGCAAGAGGAATACCAAATTCACAAGCAAATGCTGAACATTTGGGAGATGTCTTATACTAGGCTATAGTGGCTGCTAAAATTATTATTCCAAATCGACAAGAAGCGCTATGTACAATGTATGGTCCTTCAATAGCAGGTGTGTATACATGGATAACAGCCTCATTGGGCACCTACCCTTGTTTTCGGATGCCATTTTATGCTCCTTCTCAACAAGAACCTGATTATGCCTTCAATTATGCCTTCAATTATGCCTTCAATTATGCCTTCAATTATGCCTTCAATAGCGGGTGTGTATAACAGGCTAACACAGTAACAGCCTCATTGGGCACCCGCCCTTGTTTTTCGGATGCCATTATATTTTTATGCTCCTTCTCAAAAGGTTGATAAATATGGTGGTAAAGACACACCTGGCAATATGGCGGTAAACACACGCCTGCCCACACATGCTCTCTAGGCTGCAAAGTTCTGGCACAGAGCTCTCCTTCTCACCACCACCACCATCAGTTCGCGCCTGGCGCCTGGCCATAACTACAGCTGCAGTGGTGTCTTCAACTTCATTCTCCTTCTCAAAAGGACCTGATTATGCCAAAAATTATGCCGGCATAATCCGGTTACTAGTACCCCCCTAGTCTAGGTAGGTACATATTTCGCAGAACCAAACGGGCGGTGTCGCCCAATTACATGGAAGCGAATGGAAACAGTAAAATATTGTAGGAAATAGCCTAACATGATAGCAGGGTGTAGTACAAAGCAAAGAACGCTCAGTCAATGAATAACGTTAACGTTAGAATACAACAGCGGGGAGGCGGTAAACAGCACATGACTGGTACTGTGGAGTACCGCAAACGTTCAAAGATTCCTGTAGTGTTCAGTAGTGGGTGCTACTGCTAGCAAGCTACCAGTAGGTCTACGGTGGTGTCTGCAGAGTGCTACAGCGGTAATTGGTTCTGTGGTTGTGATCAGGTGATAGTCTACCATGGTTTACACTAGTACACTACACAAACCTCGGCTCAGGCTCAGGCCAGTAGATCTACTCAGTACATACATGTACATGTACATGTATGGCCTGTATGACAAGCAAGGCGCATGGACTATACCGTATACGGTTTTGACTATACCATAATGTAGCTTTGTGCCACAAATCCCCCGCGTCATTGTTTGGCAGACACTGAAAGTTCGACCCCATGTACATGACTTGTAGTTTAACACCTGCACACTGCAGTGCAGTGAGTTATTGTCTGTAGCCAGTGTAGGAAGAAGTCAAGCTGACATGATGTGAGAAGATGACATGATGACATGATGTGAGAAGGCCTGTTTGGTTGAACGACTATAATAAAAATAAAAGCACAACATGGTTCAAAATCATCTGACATGCATAATTGTTATTGACGAATCATTTTAATATACACATTATCGGGTACAGGTACGCTTGTCAAAAATACATGCGATAAAATGACACATCGTATGTCGCATCCACTCGTAGTCCACGTCCACCGATGTCGACCGAGGTAGCTCTCTTGCTACTGTGCTGCTGTGTAATAGTGATATGTACCCAGCTAATGTCTCTGCTTCGTTCAGGGAATTCAGAATAGGAAGACTGCTGTACCACCCGCTCTTTTCTTTTTACTTTTAAAAGCGATTATTTGTAACATGGAAATTTGTTCCTTGGCTCACCATCTAAGTTCTTAAAGCTATTATTCATTTTCTGCTGCCCCCGGTTATTTCTTTTATTATTATTATTTTCTTTGCCTTCGCTTTCTTGTTTTTGGGTAACTTGCCCGTTAGAATCTGCGAAGTAAAATAAACAACAACAACAACAACAACAACAACAACAACAACAACAACAACAACAACAACAACAACAACAACAACAACAACAACAACAACAACAACAACAACACACACTTAGAACACTCCCACCTTTTGCATCGCATCAAATGGCCAACATTATTTTCACGCTTTAAAGTTAAACATATACTCTTCGCGCATTCTCTGCGCCACAATTATGCCCCACCACATATACTCTCGCTGCATACTGCTAGCAACGTGCAACCTTCGTATAATTTACGTCGCTCTCGTACTTGGCACTTGCCAACTCCGCGGACTGACCGCTGTCTCCATTCTCCCCTGTACAAGGCCCTTCATTACTTTAATTGCCTGCCCACCCAGCTTCGCGAAATCCCTTCTCGTACTCCCTTCAAATCCGAGATATCCCTGCTGTTGCACAACTCTGTATGCTCGTGTAGCGACCACCCCTGCCCGTACATTTAAGTACGCAACTCTGTATGCTCGTGTGGCGACCACCCCTGCCCGTACACTTAAGTAGTCATTAACCCCTAGGCCCTGCCCACCCAATTCTTCCTCACTCTTTCTCCTTTCTTACACTATTATCTCTTATTGGCCACTGGCTATCGTGAGAATAAAGATTTGAAACAACAACAACAACAACAACAACATTGACAGGGTGCAAGCTTGCGAGTTTAGCCAGGACAGGTACATTGTATAGCTACTACGTACATGACTGTACATGTACATGCAGATGTACATGTACAGTCATGTACGTAGTACTAGTAGTGATATTGTACATGTACATGTACATGTACATACCTGGGACTCAGGTTCTGGTCATATTTAGCCCTTGGCGGATTATGCTCGACTACATTTTTCTGGAATTATGCCAATGATGGTGCTATACTGAACCCTTGCACTCTTGCAAAGTTACAACAACTCTGGCACTGAACACTTGCACTCTGAGTCTTGTTGCACTTTGCAAAGTTAGTTACAACGACTCTGGCACCATGACAGCACGGCTTATACATGTACATGTAAGGAGTAACATAATAATTCACCAGGTCATTTCCTGAGCTACACGAGCTGCCTAGACCGGCCTTGTTTATACCAAATGTATAATATGTTGTCGGATGGTGAGCCAATTTAATTATGGTACAAAAGGAGAAGGACAAAATGTTACGAGTTATGACTAACTGTATAATGACCTGGTTACGTTGGTGGACATTTAGTCATAACTCGTAACAATAACTAACATTTTGTCCTTCTCCTTTTTTACCATACATGTATGTACATGACATTGTATACTATTGTGTTACTAGTGTATACAAGTACCCAGTCACGTGTACAGTCATTCATACATGTACGTGTACATTGCTTGGGGGTACATGGTATACACCGGTACGCAATTAGCTTGTACTAAGTATCGGTGTTATTTGAATAATTTTTATCATTTTTAGAGTTGCCTGAGCCAAGGATGCGGGGCACTTGGCTTCTTCAGCACACACATACATGTACATGTAAGTGGCATGAAGTGCTGTTCACTGACTTCATCATCGAATGTAGCCAAGGAAAACTCGCACCCCGCGCAATGGAATGGAATGTTCGGCCTTTAATTAAGTCTTTAGAAGTTTAGTGACTTGAAGGTAGTTAAGGGCATAGCAACGAACAATTATGTGACATGCACAATGCACATAGTCATCATAGTCATTGTACTCGACCAGCTACATGTATGTATGACATTGTACATGATTGTACATGTATGTACCTGATCCCCTAGCCGCCCGGTGTTGTGGTGCCGCAAAAGGTAAGGGGGGGGGGGGGGAGATGCCATTTTACGATCATTCAGGATTTGTGGTGTTTCCATCTGATCCAGACAGTTCAGTTCCTTCCCTTGCCGGAACTGAAGATGGCGATTTCATGACCACTCACAGTGACACCTGGGTTAGCACTAGGCACCGCGTACCGGCGGATTATGCCGGCATAATTATTGGCATAATTATTATTTGGTGGTTGAAAATAATTTGGAGCATAATTTGGCATCCTCTCGGAGGTAGGAGCATAACTACAGTTCTAGTATGTAGGCTGTACAGTGCACCTGATCAGTGCATGCTGGTGGTCTGCATGGCAAAGGGTTCGGA